TGTTTTTCTGTCAATATGGGGTGCTGTGTGTACATTAATGAGGAAAAAATGAACTTAAATGATTTTAGCATATGGCTGCAATATAACAAAGAGTGAAAAATTTAAGGGGGTCTGAATACTTTCCGTACCCACTGTAAGTTAAATGGCTATTAGATGTAGTTCTTATTTAGAGTGCATACACACATGAGAGCGCTATTATACTGATATCTTCTCATCTAACCCTTGGCAAGAATGAAAATATGTAGCTATACAGTAGCCTATATCCCACTGTGCTTCTGTAAAATCAGTGTTGCCCCCAGAAATAATACATTTCTGTTTAAAACAACAAATATTAACACAGCTTTAAACAAACTCCACGTTTTATGATGGTAATTGGCACATTTGCTTTATTTTGAAAACAGACATTGAAACCATTTTTATTATTATTTTTTTCATTTTTTTCTCACAAGTTTGAACTCCTTGATAAGGTTTAAACTGGACATTGCACTCACTGGAACATAGGAAATTTTTTTGTTTGTTTGTTTGCTCGTTTGTTTAATTTTTCTTTACTTTTTTGTAACATCAGTGCAAGAGTATTTTCCCAATTCATATAAACTGTCATAACAACACCAAAGACATCAAAAAGAAGCCGCCACACCTCTTAAGTTTTTGTGACTGCGAAAAAGTTCCTCTCTGAGGGAGAGCTCCCATCATGCATTTGGTTCGATGGTTCATGCTACAGTTCTCACATTTGGTTGGCAGAACAAAACTGTAATGTAAGAGCCAGTTACATCAATACAATTACTGAATTTTTATAGTTCATTATATGATCATGTCATTTAAATTGCAATGTGTCCTTTACTGTAAATATGAGTAGAGAGAGTAACAGAGAGTTTTTAAAAGGGGTGTAAACCAAGCTTGAATGACTCAAGCAGAATAGGGAGAGAGTAATAGTGTTGTCCTGTAAATGTTGTTTTTGGAATCTGAATAAAAATGCCAAACTGGAAATGTTACACATTTAATTATACATTCTGTTTTCCATTTGATGTGTCAGCACATTACCTTGTTGCTGTGTTCTCAATACAATTTGTACTGTGTTGAAAACTGGAGTTGCATTTTAAAACCAGCTTGTTGTTGTAGAACGAACTTTATTTGTAAGATGTCTTCAAAGAAGGTGCATTGCAATGCACATAAATTATGGTGCAGTGGCAGTGCATTTTAAATGTGTAAATATCCATTTGGAAGGCTTCATTCTACTATTGTATCCCTTACAATAAATAGAAGATGTACCAAATCAAATTATCATCAAGGTAACAATCACTTTTCATTATCATTAACAACATCAACATCATCATCACCGCTTTCAAATAGTATTAGCTTGAGCCAAAAAACGTCACACTGGAAACTCCCCCAACGTGAGAAAATCATTGCCACACAAAAAATGACAAACAAATAGAAACGGACTGCCTTCACATTGGGAAGGCAAAGAGTGACTTTTTTAGATTTTTGTTTTTGTGTTATTCTTCATACTCTTAATTTTGCTTTCTTTAGGTTAGACTTTAGTCATCCTTGGACTCAGTGGCCTCTGCATCTGCCGGGGTGGCCTCATCTGCTTTAGACTCCTCTGCAGCATCTGAGTAGAGGAGGGAAGGGGAAAGTAGCATGGAGAGAGGAACCAGGCAACACAGGAGAAAAATGAAATGGAAAGAAGGGGGACAGAAAGAAGGATGGGTTGGAGAGAGAAAGAGAAAAAAATTAGCCAGTGGAGAGGAGATTTTACATTGTGAGATATTAAATATTAAAGCTCTGTCAGGGTCCTTTGAGATACCGAGCATCAAAGATTTCACTTACCAGCTGCTATGTTTGATGTTTTAAACATGTCACCTCAAACAGTTTACCATATAGGCTACAAAAACCCAAGCATAAGATATCAATAAAAGTCATGAAAAAGTGGATGAAAAGAAGCATCTACGTAATTACACCCTGCTCACAAGACGTCAGCACTACAGAAAGTTGGAGCATGTCACTCAGAAGGTGCAACCTAATGTCTGAAATCTCATTTTGACTGTGTAAATAAGACACTGGTCAATAAAGCATTTGAACTGACATCACAGCGCTAACAGGAGATGCAGCCTGCCACTAAAATTCAGTGGTGGCTAAGAGGTGAATACTTCTGAATAGCAATCCCTGATCCATCAAGAAATTACTAATCAAATTTGTTGAACAGCATTATTCTATTATTATTTATTCATTCTGGATTGTTTTATTTGGCTTTTCTAATCCTGTTGTCTATGCTGTTCTACTGGTAAGAGATCATTATTGTTGTTACAGCTCTCTAATGTTTATAAAATCAAGAATAAAAATTTGTAACTTCCAAATAACAAATATGTGGGCTACAGTGATTTAGGTATCTTTATTGTATTACTTCTGACCAAATATATTAGGCAAGTGCTCTAGAGCAGTGATGTCATACCTGGGTGATCTCATACTCTTTTAATAGAAAGAGGAGACATCAAAGAATGACATCATTACATTGGAGACTGGGGTGATGGAGTGTGGGTGTGTGTCTATTTGTGAGTGTGTGCCACGGCAAATGTGATCGTCATGTCTGTGTTAGTGCTTGTACAAATGTGTGTGTGTGACTCAAGACAGCATGAGTCATAGCAGATCTTCCAGGTAAGAGGTAATTAGCTTGTTAGCTAGTATGACAGACTTGAGAAGGTCCTTCAGTGCAGTCACCGAACTGTATGATTCGAATACACTTTCACCCAAAGCCTATCATTTCTGGTTTTCTGACATCAGTGCCACCTCAGTTATTATTTTAGTAACCACCAGTGATGTCTGACTAAAATGCTGATTTAGTTTTGCTGATGCATTTACAAATATAGATTGAGGATTGGGAAACAAATCAGCATACTCTCGTGATCTTTGCTGTGGTTTGCTGATTCTGCTCACTGAGGTCTAAGTTTTCAGGAAACAGTGTTATTCAGAATATCACACATTGTTTATTGTGGAATTTTAAATAAAAATAGAAAATAGAGCTGAAGTATATGAAAACATTATGACTGCCTTTAATCACCACCAGATCTGTATTCTTTATGCACAAGTTCTCTTTACAGTTACCATTTACATCAGTAACTTTGTTTTGTAACATGTTCTCTCTGTTTAAAGCTTCTCGTCACAAAGAACAGACAATCCAAATGGAGTGTCCAAAGGCTCTGTCCTGGGTCTGATACAGGATTGATGTTCACTGCTATGTGGATGACACACTCTTCTATATAGCTGATGGTCCTAGTGACATAAGCCCTCTTACCTCCCTTAAGAACTACAGCTCTAACATCAGTTTATGGGTTTCACAAACTTTGTTAAATCAGGGAAAAGTTTAATATGCTATTTTAGCATGCTGCACATCAGACAAGACATCTGGGTCTTATCAGCTCTCCTCCAACATTCTAGCTGCATATGGGTCTTATGCAATGTAGATGTAAACTTTATACATTTTTATTATTATGCCCATAGGTTGTTACTCAGCTCCTGCCACAGTTTGAATCAGTGCAAGGAAAGCTGCTCACATCACTCCTGTAAAGTCCTTGTATTGACTTCCACTTAGTTTACTTAAACATTTTTGTACTTGTCTATAAATATATGATGTGACGTCAAGATATTTCCATGATTGATTCCTTAAATCCACACTGCTCACTGTGCCAAAACCAAAAACCAATATCTGCCACTCAAACTGAGGACAGCACCATTAAATGAAGTTTACTGTATTGAAGCAAAAGATAGTCTCACATTTTTAGCCTTGCTTTTCCCAATAAATATTACTTCCATTTTTTATTGTATATTACTGCCCAATAGAAAATTACAGTATATGATGAAGATTACTATTTATTATTATTTATTTTATTCTTCTATGTTTTTATTGCTACTTTTAAAAAAATTTGGTAAAGCATCACTTTGAACTTTTAATATGTTAACTATTGCTCAAACTGCCTGGTCTTTATAATGTCCACAGCTTTTTAACCTGCAGTTTATATATGAAAGGTGCAATACAAACCTATTGTGTTATTATACCATCATTACCATATACAATATGTGAAGATGCAGTGCCAGACGTAACTAAGAGGAGCCGGTGACACAGACTGTAATGGCTGGACAGTCTGGATCATACCCATAATTATTCAGTCACAGTTTAGTGTCTGAACAAACTATGAACAAATTCCACAAGATTCCACTTAACGTTAATCAAGTTATTATATATTATGTGGTTATTCATTTGTTCAGTTCAGTTATTAAACCAGGTTGTGGCCACTAGTGGATTGCTAATTAGCAGTTCTTTGTCAAGTAGTGTTTGTTTCTAACAGACTTTCCTGGTGTGGATCCTGACCAGTAGGGGTCATTAATCATTCATTGAAATCAGAGCACCTGTTATCCCTGCTCTGCTGCATGCAGGCCAGCTATCCCATCGAGGTGGTAACTATGACAACAGGGAGACAGCACTACCTAAGTGACCTAGTTTCCTTATAGTTGTTTAGTTGATTTGTGTGTGTTTCCCACAGCACACTCCCACCTACTGCAGACTGAACATATTCCAGCCTGACAGTCCTTGGACAAAAAATATGAGGTCATGTCAAATGTATGTAGTGAGAGTGTGTAATATAATATTGTTCTAATATAAATTCAAGGCTTTCCTCTCTGCTACATATTGGACATCAAATGGTGGTTTGCTTTAAAATCTATTAGTTGTGGTTGGTGTCCAGATATCAAGGATATTATCAGATATTTTGACCTACTGTGATGTGTAACAAGGATTTAATGGGGCCACCAATTTACCACTACCTGTGTTTTCAAATAAATTACTATGACAGTAGGATTTATATGATGGTCCTGATATCACAAAAATCGTATGAACCCATCTGTGATGTTCATGAACATTTATGACTCACAAAACATGATGCTTTTTCATTAAATCAGACAATACAGCCTTGCCTCTTCTCAATAACATTGAGATATGATCATTCCTGAGATGAAACTAGACCATTGTACATCACTCTTGACCAGCACTAATCATTTCCAACCCCCTGTTTCTATTCCAATCTGTTCCTCAGCAGAGTGGAGTTTCTATTTTGCAGAGGCTGAGATACCAGGCTGTCTAATCTAATACTGAGTTGTGGGTCTGTGTTAATCAGTGTATAATGGAGCAATGCCAAAAATCTTCAAATCCCAGAGACTCTGTAGTTATTTCCTGTGGTGCCTGCCAAGCAGACTATGGGAAAGCTTTATGTACTCTTCTTTATAAGTTTTGTCTCAGAACTCATTGCCCTTGTAAACACGTGCACAGCTAATCAGAGATTTCCAAGTGGACTTATTTTATTTGACACATGCGTATATTTTTTTTTAAATGAAACCTACTGTGATGATGAAATGTAAACGCTTTAGGCTAATCTGTGTACCTTGTTTATCTTTTGTTTGGTTAGGCTCCTCCTTCTCAGCTGTTGGGCTGACAGCAGCAGGCACATCGGCTTGTCTGGCCTCCTTTTTCTCTTCACTTTTGTCCTCCTCTTTCTTCTCCTCAGCTGTGGCTGTGGTGGGACTCTTGGCTGTCGCCACTGGGGTCTCCATTTCTTTGGGCTTCTCCTCAGCTTTCTCCCCTGCCTTTGGCTCTTCTTTCTGGGACTCAGAAGGTGCTGTGGCAGCTGAAGGAGAGGTAGCAGCTGGAGCCGCTGCTACAGGAGACGTCGCTGCACCTGCAGGAGAGTTAGCTGGCTTGTCTGCCACTGGGCTTTTGGCTTGGCTTGTCTCCTCCTTCTTCTGGGCCTCCTCTCCTTTAGCCTCTTCCTCCTTCGCAGGTGCTTCCTCTCCTTCTGCTTTCTTTGTCTCCTCTCCACCCTCTGTTGCATCCTCTGCAGCAGCAGGATTGTCTCCCTCCTTCTCGTCCTCTCCGTCTTTCATCTTTTTCCGAGTTATGTGTCCACGGAAGCTGGCCTGTATTTTGGTGGCAGCCTTGTGGGCCTTGTCCTCAGGTTTGTTGGTGGTGCCATCTTGGTCAATCTTCTGGTCTGCCTCCTCATTCTTCTCCACCTGGTAACCAAGAGAAAATAGAACAGATCAACATGCGTAGAGCATGTCAAAATTGGGAAAAATCTAAATTATATGTCATGACAACAGGTTGTTAGTTAACTCATGAACACTTTTATTTACAATCATAACAGGAGAATTAAAGACTGGGAATAGTTGGGTGAGGTTTTCAGGATTGATGTTGAACTGAGTGAAAATGTAGGACTGAATAAGGAACAGGTTTAGAAATTGGACGGTCACAATAATATTGAAAGGTGTTCTGTGACATTACCTTCAATAACTGGATCCATAGCTGTCCATCAAATAGTGGGTTGTGCTATGTTTCATATAAATCTAACAAAAAGAAATCAAATCAAATAAAAGAATGAATGATGAGCACTGAAGGTGGCAAACAAAATGAATCAGTACATTCAAAATGAATAGGCAAATAAATCAATGTAAAGTATTTTCTGGCCAAGGTTTAACTAAAGCCATAAATGTGCACTTCAAATAAATATGAATAAGCAACATGAAGCAAACAAAGTGTCAATGAGCATACATGCAGTGCAGCATCAGTTAGCCAAATGATAAAGATGCAAGAAAACTGCTGAATCTGAACGGCACTGAGTGTTTTTGTCCTTCCAGGTATCAAAGCTTTGTCAGGTGATTAATTCAACAGCAGAAAGCATCTACAGCATTTTATCATTTCATGTGTTGAACAAGGGAGATTTAGTGGCACTGTGAGAATAATGTGTGTGGGGCCTGGTATTACTCATATTGTGGGGACATAAATCTGTTTACACAGTCACACTGTGGGGACATCAAGTCCCCACAATGTAAATCTTTGAATTTTAGTTATGACTTGGTTTAAGGTTAGGCAACTAATGGTTATGGTTAAGATTAGGGTAAGTCTCCAGGAAATTAATTTAAGTCAATGTAATGTTCCCTGAAGTTATGGAAACGTGTGTGTGTCTCTACACATAATGAATTGGATACACTAAAATTTGGGGAATGACAAATGACTATGTATTTATTGTAGTTATTCAATCCAGGCATGAGGCTGATACTGTCCTCTTGATAATGCTGCTGAAACAGATTGAGTGAATAATATGTAGACCCTCCTGCTGTCCTCTATCAGTGATCCATGCATTTGCTGATTATATCCTTGAAATTGCAAGCAGAAAAATTTTCAAGTGTTCAAAAATGAAGGCTGTTTCTCCAAAATAATGAGCCAGTCTCCATTCTGTAGGTACAGTAGCTTTCTAATGGCTGCTAGGGAATGAGCTGCCTGCTAGAATCTCCTCAGCATTCACTGCCATACCCCTCCCAACCATCAAAGGTTACCTTGACAACCAGAGTGCTAACTCATCACGACACTGTCTGCTACGTGGTGCTATGAGAGACTATATGTCACCCTGATTGGCAGTGCACCTGACCCCCTCAGGGGAATAGGCCAATAGGAACACATAAATCAGTCGGTGCAATCACTACGGCTAAGGAGGGGGTGCGTGTGATGCAGCAGCAGGGTGTGGTGCGAAATCAGTGGGGGGGCTGAAGGAGTTATGTGTTTATATGTATCAATGCCGACGGGCCGTGTCACCGAGCAGATTAAAGTCAGTGAATTTGTTTCACTATGCACCTCGGTAGCCACATCCATCAGTGTGTTTCCTGATACTTGATACTGTTTCTAATAGTGTCATTATATTGGATATGAGTCTTGACTGGGACAGCTGGCTGTGTGAAGAATCGCAATTGTGTGACATGATTTAAGAACCAGAGGCCCTAAACCAACCTGTCTCATTCAGGGTCAGTGTATCAGTGCAATATTGGAACAGCAAGGCCAAGCTGCAGCTGTGCTGGTATATTCACCTCCCCCACATTTATTCACATGCAGTCCCCTGAGTTCACTGTGTAAATCTCACCTTAGGCCTTCCTGCAATTCTTAATTTATATCTTCCTGAAACAATTTTGTACAATGTAATATTAAAAAACACAATGATCCTGCAGGTTGGGTGAGGGATAGTAGATTTCCAGGGACTTTCCACTGCTTCTCAAATATAGTAATTTATGTTTATAATCTGAACTAGACTGGTTTACTTAATGATTAGCTATCAAGTGTGGCCTGCTGTCTGAGCAAGTAACAAACATGGAGAGAGACAAAGCACCACCAACACTTCCTCTGCACTTAATAATATGTAGATCTCCAGTGACTTATTGGACTTCTATTATATCTGATCTCATGGGTGATTACAATTGCCAGAATTTTGATCCAAGCACTTAACTCTAAATAGAATTACTTACTGGCTGCATACAAGTGAGTCAGACAAAGAGAGAAAAAGAAGGTGATGGATGAGAGTCCTTGGGAATACAGGGGTATGACATCATTATTGGAACGAAGGGGATGCCATTTACATTAGAGATCTGGGTGTGGGTGTGTGTGAGTGAAAATGTAATGAAATACCACAAGAGTGGCAAGTGATCTCATATTAATGTATGGAGACCGGGAAGAAAGGTCTCCATTTTAAAAGTGCTGTGCTGTGGTTTTCTAACTGCTGTAGTGTTTTCATGGTCCATAAGATTCACTGTGGAGCTACTCTAACTTGTCATTTGAAACTTATTATGTTGTAATATACAATTACCAATAGTTTATTGTTGAGATAATGGCTACAATAGATGAAGATAGAAACAAAAACATATCTGCAAATGCTCTAACATTTGCTTCGTAAAGACTCTAGCTGTTAATAGAATCCTGGTCACGTATTCTCCTGCAGGCGCTATTCTGCTGTGTCTGTGCGGCACACATTTTCATTCATAAATACAGCAGCATCTCTCAACGGTGCAGCATATCACAAGGTACACTCCCTTTAAGGCTTCACATTAAGACTCAGTGACCATTTACATTTCCTTATTAATTTGCAGCGAGACAACATATTTGCATTACCAGTTTAATCAATTGACTTATTGCAATTAGTCTGCAGTGTGCCCTGTGTGAACACGATCTTTCTGGTTGCCATAGATACCCAACATTAACCGGTGAAAACTGAATTTATTAGCCAGCAAAAAGTGGAATATTTGCAGCATGATAGTGCTTTTGGTACATGATTGCAAAAGAGACAATTATGCAATACCCCTACAATAGCTACAATATAATGTAGCAACAATAAGTGCTCACCGTAGGACACACTGACACCACAGGTGGCAAATAATGAGTGCCCTCTTCATGTTCAGAATCTAAATGTACAAGAGTCCAGTGGGTTAATTTGTTTAAATACAGGAGTGTCATTCACTAGAGGACAAACTCCCCCGTCTGTGCTCTCTGTATAACTAATAAATTGCTGTGCTAAAATGTGCACAGTTCGTTATCTGGCGATTACATGTGCCTAGTGCAGCTTTGTCTATCAGCTGCAGTCTGTGCTCTCTCTTCGTCTGTCTCTGTCCTTGGGTGGGCACCGGCTGTCGTGAGAACCACACCCCAAGAGTCAATGGCTTTACCGACAGATCTATAACCACATATACACACACACACACACCATCCCCCAGTGGTGACAGAGTAACAACCCACCACCTTCCCACTGCCTCACTGCTAGTGCCATTAGGGACTTTTATCGGGAAGGGAGGGGCAGTAGAAACAGAAGACATGGTGGAGCTGTAGGGTTAGTGCTGGCTGAATTGTCACAAAACCAGAGCACACACCAGGCATACCATATCATCATGTTTTTTTAGTATTCTGATCCCTTCAAACAAGAAACTCCATTTTCACCTCACCAATAAATGCCACAAGCAGGAGGGCAGAGAAATATGAAAGGTATAATTTGCATTTATAATAATGGAGTTGCCCCTTTATCACCCAACAGGTACAACTGCTGAATTCATTATGAGTCACTTTAATGTGTAATTACTAAGGATTTGAGATTACAGATGTTGTTAGCAATAAAATATATAATTGGTGGTCTAATTTAAATAAAATGAAAAACTCCTCAAACATTTGTCATATTACCGCAGTTCCCAAGCAGACAGAAAAGTATTCGCTTCCCTGCTGGTGGCACACATTCTACCTGCAGAGGCACCTCTCTCCTGAAAATCCCAGCATGAATTCAGTGGCTGTCTGCTTTTCTGCAGGAACCAGAACCAGACACCAGAGACTGGCTGCTGTCTACAATAGCTGAATATCTCCCTCTCCTTCCTCTGTCTGCTCCCTTTCACTGTCTTTCTCACTGAGCAAACTACTACCCACTCATTCTCTCTCCGTCTCTCTCTCACACACACACATAGAGAAGCACCACACCCTTTTAGCCAGTTATCTCCTGCAGATGAGAGAAGGGAGGCTCAGGTGGTGACTACCACAGCCCCTACTCACCATCTTTCTCTGTCTCTTTCTTTTGACAGTGAATTGATGAGCAATGTTAAACGATGCACTATTAATTCTACGACAGCCCATGAAAAAATGCTTTGCAGCAGCTAATAAGCAGCCATATGCTAGCATCATTACATCCTCAGAAGCAGCCTTTAATTCAATTACACCCGCTCTCTGCCTGAACAAAGGCTCCATAATCATCACTGATCTCATAGGTAGGGATGAGGATGGGAGTGGGACCGAAAAGGGGGACAAGTGAAACTGCAAGGGGCTGTGGCTTACGCTTTGGCTGAAGCCAGGCTCTGGGGAAGTGCTTTTAAGTTTATGGGGAGCCAGAGCATATGAGGTGAAAATTGTTTGAAGTTAGTAGACCGAGATTTGATTTTAAAGTTTTGTCTAAAGTCAGATATGGTCCCGGTGCTAGGAGGAGAACTAAGAATGGAGATGGGACAAGAGCAGATGTGGGAGGGGTTTGATAAAGTCTGGTTAATGAGGAAAATGGCCTAGTGGTGGAGGGAGACCTGAATGTGGGAATAAGGTGGAACTGGACTGAATTTGACCTTGTTCTTTCCCTGAAGCCTGAGGGGAGGACAAGCACCACATTATGTGGTTGAGTTTTGCTCTAAAACTGCATAAAACTAAAAATAAGGCCAGAGAGTGGACCTACTGAGACTTAAATCAAGCACTACTAGCCACTCCCGTAGTGGAAATATTGCAATGGCACTTAATGCTCCACAGCAGCGGGACCGACATCAGTGCAGCTACAGTAGGTTTTAAAGCTGAAAGCCATGCTCTGTGCTCATCCATCAATGAAGACCACAGTCTTTCTGGATTAATTTATGCCTGTGCTCCTCAAAAGCAGCAGCAGGAGGATAAGCACTTGAAGGCTGGGAGATTATTTTTGCCTATAGTGAGATGCACACGTTCGAGGCATTAACAGGGTTTTGTGGGAAAAGCCGGTGCCTCACCCACATGGCTGCAGTGAGCAGCATGCCGGCTTCTCTTCCTACGTTTCCCACCCTCTTTAATCTTCCTCACCTTCGCACCTGCTCACCTCCCCTAACAATCATCACTCTGTTACCAGTCAATTTCCTGCTGGTTGTGGTCACTTTGCTACATGTCTGTCTCTCCCTACATTCCTGCATACCTTGCAACATAACCCCATCTTTATCCTTTTTTTAACACCTCTGTTTCTGTGCCCACAACATTTCCTTCACTCACTACCTCCTCTTGCATCTCCTCTTGCTTTCCTGCCATTTTCCTCTTTGTGCACCAACCTCACTCCACCCTGCCACTCATTCGTCTCTCCCTGCTTGCTTCTCTGCAACCTGCTTCTCCTCACGTCTTTCAACTGCCAAGCCTTTCTTTCTTTCTTTCTTTCTTCCTCTTTCTTCTCCCTGCCAGAGCTAAAATGACTCATGCAGGTTGACATTTAAGAAGAAAGCACCACTGGAATCCAGTGTGTTACGAGTCCAATAAAAATCATAATCAGTTTCAGATAGCAGCAGGAACCTGGCTCTGATCACGTACAAAACCACCATGATAGGTGCTGAAACAGTAACAGTGAGTGAAGCACAGGAGAGTGACACCTTTTCCGCCACTGTCCAGACCGACCCGCTTCCATGCAACACCTTTTTTTTTTCTCTGTCATAGCTATGGGTTACAATAACTACCCAACACCAAGCTTTCATACCCCTTATATGAGTGCATAATTCATCATTCATCTATTAACAGCATCCACTTATAAAGTTAGAGGGCTATGAAAATCCATTTAGACTCATTTATTTTCACTGTATTCCCCCGAGGCCACTGACATGATTGTGCCGCTCACTCAAATCATACCCCACCCTTTTTTCTCCTCACTGTGGCAATTTACTTTCCTGTGTCACCCATTTCTGCTCCCAGAAGTGCAAAAGATGCTAAGGTTCCACTTTAAGGCATCATTCAGAAGCACTAGGTTAGGGCAATTAATATTATCATTAACAATGGTAGATTAGGTTGAGTTCAATAGAGCTCCTGAGTAAGTAAGGGAGTATTTCAGCTTTGATAGCAGACAATACAGAATCTATCAAGTGTCTTTAAATAATCCATCACTTTTTTTTCAAGAGCTCGATCAATACGTGGGAATGCCCAGCTGCTCAAGATTGAGTTAGTCTTGTGCCTCTCTGCAAATACAGTGTGAGGTCTGAGAGGCATTGTGGTAACATCCATTCATACGGGATAATCACATTAACTAGGCGTGTCTGGGCTGTGTGGATAGACTTCTACAAAGACAAGCCAGGCCCTGAGTCAAAGAAAATTACATCAACATTTTGTCTAATCTCCCCACAAGCACCCTAATCTGACTCTTAACCAACAATCACAAAGTTCAAAGTTGAGATGCAATATTTACATCTGCTGAAAATACTGATAAAGCAAATCAGAGTAGTTTACCGGTTTGGTTCTCCTTATGCAGCAAAGCATAGTTGTGGTACCCTCCCTTTTTCTTCGCTGCTTCTTTCTTCCCTTTTTCTCCCTTTCTCTTCTAGTCTCTCACCCTCTCTCTCTCTCCCTCACTCACTCGCTTTCGTGCACACACACACACACACTCGCTCTCTCTCTGGCTGTATCAACAGCTAAGCTGCCCAGTACATTTGCTCATCCCAGTTTGCACACACAGGCTCTTCTGTCGGTCTGCCTGGGTGCACCTCTCTCTCTACTCGCTGCCTGACAATGACTACAAGCCCACCCTTTAAACCCCTCCCTTCCCTTTACTCCCTGCATCCCTCTCTCCTCCCCTCTTCTCTTCACACTATCCCCCTCCTCCCCCACTTCTCGCTCATAGTGATGAACCCCCTACCTCTTTTGATAAGCACTCCTCTCTTCTACATCTTCTCACCCTCCTCCTCTCTTTGAGCCTGGCTCCAGCAAAAGCTGCGGCCCCACCCTAAAGAGGTCCTGCCTTAACAACTGACTGGATACCTCTAATTTTTGCCCTGATAGATCTTTTTTTTCCTCTCCTCAGCACCACTACCCCTCTGTTTCATCCCCCCTTCCCCTTTCAGACAGATAAGATGATGTCTCTTTTAAAACAGAGGCTCCCAATTGGAAGTCATCTCGGCTGACTGCTCAGGCTCCTTCTCAGGCTGTGTGTTCTACACTCTCTGGATTTCAGATCAGAGTTATGAGCCTGTGAGCTCCTCGTCCAAATTGCCACGGCAATGCCAAAAGCATGTTTTCTGGCACAGATGAGGACAGCTTTTGCCAGGAGGGACGTGAAAGAGAGCAGTGATGATTGCGAAGCACAGCCATCATGCGTGCACACACACACACACTTGCACACTGTGCTTTTAGGACACGTTACCCATAATGCCAACCCACCCACCCCCACATACCCAACGCTCTCTGTTCTCATGGAAACACCAGCAGATAGACTAGAAGAGCAGAGGAGGAGGAGTGTGTATGAGAGAGTGAGAGAGATGTAGGGAGAGAGGGATGAAGGTAGGAGGAGGAAGCGAGAGGGCCGGGTGTGGCAGACAGGCAGGCAATGCAAACTGCATAGCTTTTTCTCTCCCTCCCCCTTTTTGTCCCTGTGTGCACACAGTCTGGTTTAATGAGTGGGCACAATGCATATGCATTATCCCCACAACTACATTTATAACCATTACCGTACAGTGAGGCAGGCAGGCAGGCACATGCTCATGCAAACACCCACACTTTGTATTTGTCTTTTGTAATACACACAGACACACACACACACACACACACACACACACACAGTTGTGTCCAAAGAGTCCCCACTACCGGCAAGCACCAGCAGATGTTACAGCCACAATGAGAACGGAGGCAGGGATGGAGGGAAGGATGGGTGGAAGGGAGAGAAGGAAGAATCCTGAGGGGTAGTCCTCTGCTGTTCTTCTCTCTTACAGGATTATTCCACATCTAGTTCACTGAGGGGAAATGATTAAGCTGCACCGCTGAGCCACAGCCTTCCTGGTGGTCACTGCTGCCACACACATATAACACCATTACTTGGCTGTCCTACATCATCATAGTCTATAGAAAACCCTATGACACAGACGCTGGAGTGCAGGGTTCTGCTGAGTACGCATGATCTTTCTCAGCACTGCCCTGCATTAATTTTGCACGATACACATTTATACTAAACAGCTGCCAGTCCACTGTCCCCTACTGGGGCACTTCACTAACTAGCACATAAGCGCTTTGCTAAGAAAAATTATGTCCAGAGTGTCCCCAAGTATTCTGGGGTTAAAAGTAAATATGAATAAATGAGTGGGAAATAAAGCCATGAATAATATGTTAAGGCCCAGAAAAACACTGAAATTACTAGTTAATCAATAAAACAAAACTGGAATTAATGTATTAATTCATTTTATAGTAAAGAAGCTTTGCACATGTGAATGTTTGGTGACTTTATTTGTGTAACTTGATTATTTTACCTGAATATCAGACATAAACAAAAAATTTGAACAATTTAAACACTGGAAAACTGGACATTTTTACTATTTTCTGGCCAGTTATGAATCAAGTGATTACCTGATTAATCAAGAGTAAGTGGCAAGTGAGACAGCGCTCTCCACCACCATTATTAAGACACCAAATCCCTGGATATAAATTTTGAGACATGGAGATATGACAAGGAGCACTAAAGGTTTTTTGTTCGTTCATTATTGACCAAAACCTTCTGAAAGCATTTCCTGTTTATCGTCTGTAAAATGAATTGTATTTTCCAACAGAATAAAAAAAATAAATAAATCAGTGATCCAAAGGTTTTTGCCAAGAACGGTTTGCCACACATGAAGAGGTTTACACCATCAGCATTTAAACATCAACAGGCAAATCACAGCAAATCAAATCCCCACAATGGGAGCTCCACAATAAATTCTTTAAAAGATGCATACAAAACCATCAATACAATCATAATCTGATATTTCAAAGGAGTTATCTAAGTGAAAATTTTAAATCACACACTCAAATCCCCAAAAGCCACATCAGGCTGAAGCTGTTTGTATGTGTATGTATGTGAGAGAGAGTGTGCGTTTAGAAAACAATCCGTTTCCAACACGACTACAAACTGAGCCAGCTTAGGGTAGCTGCTCCTGATGTCATCTTCCACATTTATTTGATTATTCTGTTAAGTAGCTGTTAACTTGTTAAACTTGTAAACCTGTTAGCTATATTTATAAACAAAACATGCACTTAAAACTTTCGGTGAAGAAAGTGTGTTGCTAAAAACTGCAGAAAAGAAACACAGTACAGTCTTCAGATACATTCATTGTTTATATTAAATGTTCATAAAATGTTTACTTTATTTTCAAACCTTACTTACTGCACTGGTTGACAAGCTTCCTCATTACAAAACTCCATACCCTGATGCTTTTTAAAAAATGTTGCCCCAAACGGTCATAACTTTTTCCAGCATCTGAGGTAAGCTAGAGTCAAGGGCCCGTGCACAAGGTCTCTCTATCCTTGCTGGAGTGCAGTGGTGCGTCTTTAATCGTTTCTTGAACACAGACGAATGAGCTAATCCAGTTCAGTTAACTGTGTGTGTGTTGTATTTCACTGTTAAGATTTGTTTCAACGCTTTCTGTGATTTCCAGTCAGCAACAATACCCGACAGCTGAAAAAGTAGGCTGAACGGAAAAAGCTGTAAATGTAATGTAATTTGCAGTAATAATATTTCAGTCAGGAGCCTAGAAAATCTCAACAATCCCTCCCTTTCTGGGTTTTATCCATAAAATTGAGTTCAGGCAGTCAATAGACTATTTTCTTCCTTCATTTTTTTCTGCCCAACATGAGTAAGCT